TTGTGCACAGACACCATCTGGCTTTACCCCCAGGGTTTCCTAGACGAGGGCAATCTAGTTAGCCTTGTGAAATCCAAACCCCAGGCAAAACAAAAACTACAAAACCTCCACAAGACAGGCTTTCTCACTTCTGTGTGAGGGGCATCTACATCACACATAGCAACTGTCAGAACAGAAATCACATCTTGAGCAGTAAGTTATCTTCTCAACCCAAACTTTTTCTTTCAATTTACTGGAATTACAACAAGTCTGTTCTGGTCAAGAGAAAGTTGACCAGTGTGTGTGTGTAATTGCAGAGCTTCAGAGTAGAACATCACGTAAGAAACTGTCTATAAAAACGCTTAGAAGTAGATTGAGAACAGATTTACTAAAGAAATTAGGAAGTCATTCCAGTGTTCTTTTCTGTTCTAAATAACATAGTGCAAATAAAACTCTGAGGCGAGATTCTGGACAAAGACATGCTTTTGAAAAGAGACCACAAGATTCCTGGTTTCCTTAATGAAGAAAACAGAAAGAGTTGGTCTTGGTCTGGGACTCTCAAAATGCTGATCCTTTTGAACAATGTGGACAAGTACAGAATATTGTCCAACATTTTAATCCTTGAGCAAAAATAAACCAAATTTCTGTGTGCTCTGACTGTCTTATAGGAGCTGGGGAAAAAAACCCCCAACAAACCCCTCCCTTTCTTTTTTATGTTTGCTAGTTTCCAAAGTTTCTAAAGGAATTTATTTGGGCAAGGCATTTTAAGCTCTATGTCTGACTTTCCTGAGAAATTACGATCTAGTTGCACAGTGCAGTGGTTTGGAGCCAGATACTCTTTTATTTCAGGCTTTGGGAATCTAAAGTCAATAGGGAACTGCATATCTACGTAGGTGTGATTCCCTAGTGCCGGCCCCAGAGTGAGGACTGAGGTGAGTTCTCCATAACAACACCGCCATCCCAACTTCTAAACTATAAAAACTTCATTTTTATTTTTCATCGTTGGTTATATCTTGTTGTGTCTGCTGACTGAACAGTTACGCCTGTGTATCTTCACAGGAAGTATGTGTATCATGGCCCTGTTCTGACAGTATAGGCTCAGTGAAATGAAGATGACAAGCAAGTTTTCTACTGTTGTACACCATAGAAAGGTAAAAATATAATGAGCCGCTTTCTCTGCTTGGTAGTCACAAGATTGGAAAGGAGGGTGTATGCAGTGATAGCTGGGGACCAGTGGTATAGATAATAACTTTCAGCCTTGGTAAATGCCCTATGAAAAGCAGTATATATTGCTGTCTGCTCTCAATGTGACTGAGGATGCATGACATTTAGATGGTAAAAGAAGGTCATGTAAGAAGTAGGTAACATGTCAGATGAGCTATCTTTGCTTTACAGTGTTACCCAGTGAAAACAACAATTTTACTTTGGTTTAATGAGTATGCCCTGATGACATCACTAGGTTTACATTTTGACACGATCAGAAGAGTAGTAGTAGACTGGATAATGTTAGCAGGGAGCAGTGTCTAATATTAATTAGGTAGTTGGAATTTTGCAGTCTAGAACTGGGTTTTTGTTGCTCTTTGAGCTTTCTTCTAAAATGGTGGCCTTTTCGGTCAACACTGTACAGAGAAAAATCTTGCTGGTTGAATTTCTTGTGTCAGCTAACAAACTTGGTCATTTAGTAACAGTCTTAGAAGGGTAACTTTTAAACAATGTGAGATGTAAATCACCAATCTCTGTTTCTAATCACAGTGAATGCACAGGTTCCCTTTGAGTTCTAATGAAGGAGTTTGGAGCTGAAGACCACAACATGTTTGAATTAATTTTGATGTTAATTTTGCAGATTTCTAAGGTATCTAAGATGTGACTAATAATAATAGCAGGTGTTGTCTGTTTCTCTCAGCATGTGGCATGAAAGCAGTGTGGTCACACAGCTATGCATTATTTACATGGTGTCAACATGTCAGCAAGTGGGATGGCAGAGCGCCAGATTAAATCACTTCTGATTTTAAATACAGGACACTGAATAATAATGCTGTGTCACACTTGAGGACACTGGAATCTGGCAAATCAGCAGTAGCTCAATGTGCCAAGCTCCTTTGAATGGCCTCCCCTCTACCCCTCCCTGAATGATGAAGGAATCAAAATCAAGAGTCAAGGAAACTGTGTAAAGTTGGGGTTTTGCATTTTGTTTGGGTTTTTTTTTTGTTTGGTTTTTGGTTTTTTTTTTCTTGAAGCATAAAATTGCATCCAGTAAAGAGACACACTTTCATTGCTTAATATACAGCTGCATGGGTCTCTGCCCCCATGCTAGGAGTATCTACTCCTGAGGAGGGGCAACCATCCTATGGTACATCTGTTTGCCATTTGTCTTTGTTGTCTCTGCAAGTGGTAAATCTGTATGGTACAATTACTTTCTTTCATTTTTTTTTTGCAGAAGCTAGCACAACAGGTCCACAATCTCAAATGGTAATTTATAAGAGTGTGTATTTATAAGAGGCAACCACGTTAGTTAGAATGGGTGCTTTAAGGATTTGGGGTCTCCTAAGAATTTTTAGGAGTGCTGTTTTCAGCCATTGCTTCTTCTGCACCAGCTCTGACTTCTGTATCACCCTTAGAGCTGGTTCACCTTGCCAGCTAGTAGAAAACTAATTCAGCAAAATAAAAACATGAATAGTTTTCTGTTGGTTTAGAAATTCCATTGGGTTCACCAAAGAGCCACATGAAAATCAGAGAAAGTGGAAAGGAAGGAATGGGCCTGGATGCCAGGAAACGAAGGATACAGGGAGAAGTGGAGGGAGCAGGACTGTTAGATGAGCAGCTCCTGTGCACAGGAACTGTCTACAATGGTTGAAGGAAAAGAATGTATAATAGTACTGGAAATAGAAGCCTCTGTCATGGGATGTACCTTCAAATACTTCACCCAGTAAAGTGAATATCACTGTCCTCATTTTATAGGTGGGGTAACTGAGGGCATGATGCAACTTGTTTGTGGTGGCGCGGTAGAGGTGGAACTAAAGCAGAAATGGCCTTAACTTTTAATCAAGGGCACCGCTTGCTGGCCCTCTGTAATGAGTATCCCTAGGACAGTGAAGTCAGACAGCTGCTGAATAGGGAGATTTGTGTTCATGGGGAAGATGAGACCCCAGCAGTGTGCTCTCCTAGCTAGTGCTCATTGGTCTCTTGGCAGTGTTGTGTTGTTTCCTGCAATCAGCTTTGCCAGGGAATCTTCTTTGCAGATCCTATCCTCAACAGCTTTCATTTATGTCCTTTGCATAGAGCTGAACACTGTCGTGGGTAGAAGCTGAACATTCAGGACCAGAGGAAATGGCCTCAAGTTGTACCAGGGGAGGTTTAGATTGGATACTAGGAAAAAATTCTTCACTGAAAGGGCTGGCAAGCACTGGAACAGGCTGCCCAGGGAAGTGGTTGAGTCCCCATCCCTGGAGGTATTTAAAAGACATGTAGATGTGGTGCCTGGGGACATGGTTTAGTGGTGGACTTGGCAGTGTTAGGTTTATGGTTGGAGTCTATGATTTCAAAGGTCTTTTCCAACCTAATGATTCTATGATTTTGTGAAATCAGCCAAACTGCAAAACCTCACCCTAGAATGGTTAATGCACAGGCAGGAAGCTGTTGGAAGGTTAAAAGAAGCATCCAAAATACTGGGATTCATTTTACCTTGTCACCATAATACCCTTTTTATGAAACGAGAGCTACATATGCTCATAAAAACCTTTTGCTTTTTTTATTTTAAAGGATAATGCAACCATTGGAGTCTGTGCACAGTTCTTTCAAGTTAAATGCTTAGTTCAACATTCCACTTCCATTTCCTGGTAGAAAATGTTTTATATGAAAGCAACTTTAACCTTTCAGAAGGGTTCATTTACTGTTACGTTTGGTAACAGCTTTCCAAAAAATGCAGTCTGCATTTGGCTATTATAGGTTCTGGTTTTAATATTGGTTTAGGATAAAAAAAAGAGTCATATACCATAAGTCAGAAATAAAATATTGTGCCAGAATTCTCTCTATACATGAATTCACCCTGTGAGCAAGTGGTTTAAAGTAAGTCTGATCACTTAAAGCCAAGACTTGGGCTCAATCTATCCATGAACCAGCTGGTAACAAATAACACATTCAACTCTCGGTCACAGGAAACTGTTAGGTTGCCTTTTTATAGACAACCACAACCCTACAGCTCCTGAAGCACAAGGGAATATCATACGGACTTTGAAAGTGTTGAACACCTACCATATGCACATAAAGAAGGGTAATAAAGATGAAAGACCTGAACTGAGCTTTAATTCCTATTTTTCTGCTTTTGATTTATCAGCTGCTTCTGCATTGCTGCAATTTTCTTTGGCCTGAAATTAGGTAGAAGATGCTTGAATTGCTCAGTTTGATCAAATCAGTCAAATTTAGGCTTCCCTCTCTGTCAGTGTAACAGATGATAAACATAAAACTTTAAAGTACTTTCTTGCTTTCTTTTCATCATTATTGTGCGTTAATTTCTGAAGTGCTGACTGCTGTAACAAACCACTGCAATGGGCAGTTCCTGGCTATGTGTCACTGTTACGGAGGTGCTGCCATCATGGTGAGGTAGGCACTGAGCTGGTAGAGCTATATCAAGGTGACTCTGAGCTAGAGCTGGGACTGACTCGGTTGGGTGCAGGGCCACAAATACATGGCTGAGCCACTTTTGGGACCTTAACAGCTTCTCTGCATAGTGCTGCAGTATGCTGTGGGACTCTCTCAGCTGTCAGGTTTGCTCAGGAGTCTCTGCTCTGTGGTCCATTGCCATGTATGGTTGTATTCTGGGAATTACCCTCTACAGGACTTCTGCCATCAATAAGCACCTCTTACAGAAAAAAGGGCCTTCAGACAGGCCTGGCCATGAGTGAGACAATAAAGGCTAATCCTCTGTGCTGCTGAGCCTCAGCTTCTAATAAAGGACTCAGAACTTGTATGGGTAAAGCTTCAAAGTAAGTACAGATTTACAGAGGGAGGGCAGATAAGAGGGTTGTAGCCCACCCATTAAGACCACCTGGTCTTAATACATGGTAGCAGTCAGCCTTTGTGCGACATACTCTTTCCATATCCTAACCCTGTTCCAGGGAGTGAGATTTCCAAGAATTCTGCTGGCGATGTACTTGTCAAAGTTGGGTGCACTACAGAGGCTAAGTCTGTCAGTCATACATAATCGTTTTATCACCTCTTGAACTGCACCAGCTAAACCTGACAGTGATGGTGAAGCAGAACCTCAGTAAAATAACATTTATGACATTTAATTTCATTAATATTTTCTGATGATGAATGCATATCCAATGCTTTGAAGATGGAAAGGTCTGCAAAAATGCAAACTATTATTTTATCTGGAAATGTGTTTTGTGGCATCCCAAAGTGTATTCACATTTCTTATTCCTTTTTTGTGCATGTGCAGGAGTTCTCATGAATTTTCAGCAATGAGTCCATATGGGAATAATTTCATTGTGAGAAGGCGGCTTCCATTCTATCATGAAAAAAAGCTGCATGGAAATCACGGAAAGCTACAGAAGAAAGTATCAGTTATTGTTTGAAAGCATTGTGGCCTATGGAGATGGAAACCAGAACGTGGATTTGCCTCCAAATTTTATAAGCTTCAAGAAACCCAAATGATGAGAAACAAATGCGAAAAGTTCACAAAAGTAGTGGTTGCTCAAAAAAAAAAATTCTTAAAGCCTGTTGCTTTTATTGTGAACAGACGCGGTGAGAAGGATATTAATTATCTCAAATACCATAATTTAAACAGGTAGAGGTATCCCCAGTATTTTTTGATTACCACCTAGATCAGTGTTATACTCCTCAGTTGCTGACAATGAAGTTATCAGCCAGTGGATCAAATTATTAAGAGGAAGAGTGAGCTTACCATTTCTTGAAGTCTTCAAATGGAGAGTGGATGGTGTGCTTTAGCAAACAATGGAGACACAGCTGGGTGAAATTATACAGTTGTACTAAAGAGAAGGGAACATGAGATATTCTATGTGGTCCTTTCTAGCCTTAAGAGCTATAGGTCTATAATTTCACAAATACCGTTACAAAGAACTTCTTAGATGTAATGATGACCATAGCAACAATGTGAATCCACCTCCTGATTTGGGGTGGATTATTCCAAAGTTTTTAAAAAAATTACAGACTGTAGTACTGTTTCTACATGTTTCTGTCACTACAATTCATATTACTAGCATAATTTTACAGCATTGGAATTATTTTTTTTTTTGAGGACTAAAGAGACCCTTCCTCTCCCCCAAAGAGCTTAATTGTACTTCAGTTCATGAAACAGTGTATAAACAAGTAAGCATGCATGCTGCTGCTTTCCTACCTGGTGTATTTCAGTCATTAAAAGCTGAAATAAGTAAGCTAAACTCAGTCAGTGGAATAAGAGACAATCCATGAAGAAAATTCCAAGACACTTCTTATTATTCTAGACCATTTCTAAGCTAAACTTTAATTTTCTCCTCCTTGTAGGGTGATCTGTCACACTGTTTAAAAGAGAACCTTAAAAGAAGATTATTTTATTTTCCCCCATAGCAGTCCTCCAGATGAGAATATCTAAACCATTTTTTCCCCATATTTCCAGTGTTTTGGGGCATTGGGCACTGCAGAAACTTAAATCTGGCAGGGCAGTTGGAAGCTTGGGAAAGCAGTACCTGACTGAACAGCTGGACATGAATGAAATAGTTCTTCAATGTTGCGACGTGTTTTCCTTACTATAAAGAAAGAAAGAATTAAGTGACTACATGCTCGGAAGAAAGAACTTGCCATTTTGTGATGGCTCTCAATCATCATCTTTGTAAGTCCATTGAACTGTTTCTCTGATAAAAAACCTGCAGCCTGCAGTACAAAGGGCTTTGAGTATATGTGTAATATATACTGTTATCAGCAATCACCACTAAGGTCACAAATGATATTCCTTCGGTATGGTTAAACCATCTCAGTAATCATAAGACAAAGTTACTCCTGTGCCAGTATGTCTTCTACCCACAGAGGTGGGTTTGGCAGCATAACTAGGATCCCAGCATAGTTGGGATGTCCTAACTAACACCAGAAGATCTGAAAAAAACATATAGCTGTTCAACAATTTCAGGGAAAGCTGATGATTTTGTGTCCAGAATGGATGTGCATAATTCCAGAGGCAGATTTGTAGTTTTTAGATTGTGGTCAATGGCTGGTTACCCTTGTTTCTGTGAGTGTCTAAAGCTCTCTTCATGGCTCACTTCTATATATGTACATTGTGCCTAAATAAATATCTCAACTCTCCCTCAGCTGGAGGGCTGTCTGCAGAACGGGATTTAGCCAAACACGGTGTGCCACTCAGATACAATGTAGGGCGCACAATATAAGAAAGCCCAGAGCAAATTTGATAGCATGTCATATACAGGCATTCAGATTGCTTTATCAAGCACTCTTTTCTGGTCCTAAGTTCCATAAGTTTATAACTTGCGCTGATTCATATAAGTTCAACTTTCTCTTGCTACTATGTTTTGTGCTCTTGAGAAAAGGTGATTGGAAAAGCTGGATAATGAAAAAGAAGAGTGGCCCCTGACTGCACTTAAGCTTTTCAAATATATTATCCTTTATAAAAAAAAAGCCAACCCAGTTTGTCATAACAGTTTCAGCGTCAACAGTGAATAATCTATTTGCCATGCAAAGAAAGACCACAGTAAAATAGAGGTGTGTGTGTTTAAAACTCTGATTTCATGAATCTACAGGAACAATTTTAGGTTGATTTGGTGGAAGGAACTCCTCGGTTTTATTCCCTAAGGACTATCTGTTTAGCTCTCTTCTAAAGAGTATAACAACAAAAATTAAAAAACAAGGGAGGAGAATAAGAAGTCGCTAAACATTTGGAAGCTTTGAGGTCTAGACTTGTTTCCATTCATCAAGGTTGTTCTCAAAAGTAATTTTTGAGCCACACTGCAAAGAAACTGGGAAGAGATTGAACTGCTAATGTTCCCTTTTCTGTGTGGATATACAGAAAACAGTTTTCTTGTCTCACAAGGATTCTGTTGATTTTGAAATTTTAGGCCTGGCATGGGGCTCAGTGAATATATGAGTGACTTAAACAAACAAACATATTTCATTTTAATGCTGACCTTTTTTTTTTTTAACCTTTTAATATCAGCTAAATTAAGTTTCAACAGGAGAAGATGCTTTTAACCACAGAAACAAGACTTTGTTTTAAAAATGTTGAAAAGGTACATTTCTAGAATTTCAAAACCCGTTTTTCCAATTTTTTTGACGACAGGAAGCTCTTCTGGGAATAATTTTGGTTTTGAATTGTGAGTTGTGACCATCTCCTTCTCTATGAAAGCCCTGTTCTCACTCCCAACTCTAAACCCAGGCTTCTAATACTTTCCAGAAGTCTAAGGTATGATTGCCTTAGTTATCTTACTGATGCATTAGAGTGAGACATAGATTTTGGGCAACTATCTTTATCCACTGGTGTAGTAAGACAATAGCGAGAGTGTTGTGATGGTCTTAACTGGGATTCTTCTTCCTCTACAAGTACTTGAGATTGTAATAATTGTGTTTTGTGTTTCTATGTTTCACGTACATACTGTTTCATGTTAATTATTGGTTCACAATTTGTAAACAAGTAGATGAGAGTTACATGTATGCTAGAAATTAAATTAATTAACACACTGAGTGTTTTTTATCCATTACATCTGTAAAGAAGGATTATTTTCATATAATTTATGACCATGGTTGTGTTGATGGGACAAAATCTGATGCCTTCAGTGAAGGATTAATAATGAACCCTGCTTTAAGAAGTCTGGATGGCTCTTATACCTGGAAACGAACTCTGGATTTTCTTCACTTTTGATGGCAATATTTGTATGTATTTGCATTACCCTAGGAATAAATTCCTTTCATGAGTTGACTGAATGGACCGTCTATCTTGCTAGGAAGAATCTAACGCAAAAATTGCCCTGCAGCCAGAGGAGCCACTCTGCAGGCTGGAGATGGAGGAGCCCCCAGTGTTGGAATGGAGGTGCCAAGGGCTAGGTAAGGTCTGCACAAATACTGCCAAATCATTCCAGTGAAAGTCCTGATGTTTCTTTCCCATGTGAGGGAAGAAATCCAAGTTGAGGTGTTCAGAGGTCTGGAAACAGGGGTTGGTTCATAGGTGTTCAATAGGGAAGTTTACAAATAAGCAAGAAGGGGTTTCTTCCTGGCTGAAACTAAAAAGGCCTTGCACTCAGCAGGCTCTTCCTTTCCCTCCTCCATCCGAGCACTGCTGTACAGTGTCTATCAGTTAGTAAATGTATGTTACCTTATTACCTTATACGTGAAAAAGGTACTGACATTTTTAATAGTCTTAATAGCTTGTAATACTGCTGTCTGGTAATGTTTTAATTTGTTTTATTCATAGAATTGCATAATTTACTCAGCTATACTTCCATAGGCACTGTTAATGAGTACAGCTTTACTGTCAGGGCTCTGAGGGCACCAACAGGCTGCAGTGTCCCTACCCAGCCCCCGGGGCTCCCCTGACCCTGCCCATGGCCCAGGACCTCATGTCAGCCCCCTGGGGCCATCAGCCCTTGCCCAGCGATGCCACAGCAGGGCTGGTCTTTAGCTCCCCACAGCCCTGCCCTGCCCGGCCATGGGCCCCACTGAGCTGGGCCTGCCCAGAGCCCGGCCTGGCCTTGGATTGTCCCCATCCTCAGGCAGCTGCCCCAGTGCCCCCAGCTGTTTGCTCCTGGCTGGGGTGGTGGAACAGGCCCTGGCTGGTGAGGCCCTGCCCTGATGGACCCCTGGAGAGCCCTCCACCACTACCAGCGCCCCTGCTCCAGGGAGCTGCCATCCTGCGTATGGCACCCTGACATAGAGTTTGTGGTGAGCCCTTGCTACCCACAGTGCACAGAGGTGCCGCCATTGTGTCCAGATACAGCAGATGCATATTTTCTAACTATATGTTCTTGTGAGGCAGTGCTGGCCTCCGTAAGGAAAGGGCTCCTCAGAGCAGAGGTGCTTTCCTTCGTTCTCAGGAATTAACCATGTTTCAGATGAAAGTGCGTATTGGAAACTGCCTTTTATCTTACCTTTGTTGTAGTGTATTCTCTTGAAGCACATGACTCAGGCATGCTGCATGACAATAATGAAGCTGGACCAAAAGTGAAATTTTAAATCATTCTGAAATTAAGTACGGGTTTACAGCTTTTCAGACTTGAAAATAGCTGTACTCTTTGGTTTCAGGCTTAGCTGAGAAACAGATGAGATTTCCTAATGCAGATATTATCTTTATAATAAAGCTTTATAAGCTAGTGAGGGCTCTGGAGCACAAGTCTTATGAGGAGCGGCTGAGGGAATTGGGGTTATTTAGTCTGGAGAAGAGGAGGCTGAGGGGAGACCTTATCGCCCTCTACAACTGCCTGACAGGAGGCTGTAGTGAGGTGGGGGTCAGCCTCTTCTCCATGGTAACAGACGATAGGACAAGGGGAAATGGTGTTAGACATTAGGAAAAATTTCTTCACTGAAAGGGTTGTCAGGCACTGGAATGGGCTGCCCAGGGAGGTGGTTGAGTCCCTGGCCCTGGAGGTATTTAAAAGACGGGTAGATGAGGTGCTTAGGGACATGGTTTAGTGGTGGGATGGCAGTGTTAGGTTAACGGTTGGACTTGATGATCTTAAAGGTCTTTTCCAATCTAAACGATTCTGTGATTCTGTGATTTACATAGTAGCTTATATCACAAGTTTTCCATCAGAAGTGGTGAAGTCCTTGTGTGCGGACGCCTTGCTTCAGTGGGGCTTCCAGTGAGTTACTCAGTCACGGTAAGTTCCAGCACAACCCCTTCTGAAGCTCAAATGGTGTTAAGGATACACTTTTAGATATATTCTCAGGTCTCTCTTTACTCTCTCTTCTTTTTTTTTTTTTTTTTTTTGTTTTTTTTTACAGCGAAGTTTTGAAATTGTAACAAATAGTCTGAGGCCCATCTGGAGACCAGTTAACACTGTCTTGGGATCAAGATGTCTTCATTGCTAGACAGCTGAAGGGAAATACATTTTCTCTATTTCAATGTGTCCTGCATATTATCAGAAGGACTATTCTGAACTAGAGGAATTAGCAGTGGCCTCTGCAAAGCATCAGCACTTCTCTGTAATTCTGGAGAGGGATGGTGCTTCACGATGCATCTTTTTCCAAGTAATAGTTTTGAAAGATGCATCCCATTATCCTTCCAGCTCAGGAAACCAGAGTCTTTTTTATTTTCTGTGCCAAGACCTCCTTCCACCCATATTGCAAGCTGGCAACACACAAAGAGCAGCTAGTGGAATATCCCGTTAGCCAAATGTATTACCAAAATTAAATGCCCTACTCATGTATTAGCCTTCATGTAATAGAGCACTCTGAGTTTCATCCCTTGCTGTCTGTGCTAATCAGTAGCACTCTCTGCTATCCAGTTCACTTTGTATTGTTTCAAATCCTAAATTTGAAGCATAACACCAGTATTATTTTTGGACTGACAGAGCACCAGTGCATTGTAGAAGATCAATGGGGAGATTTTGGCAGTGGAGTAGGGAGCAGCAGGGGCTTGTGGTGCTGCCCTTCGTGCTTGAAGTCGAGGCAGGAGAAGTGGAGGCTTGTGATGGGGGGCAGGACTGCACGCTGCTTTCTGTCGGGCACAAGCAGTTTGCAGTTGAAGGCAGAGGAGATTTGTTTTCTGTGCACCTCTTGAACAATGTGAAGGTGACTAATTGCTCTTTCCTTTTGAAACTGAAAAAGGAGTACATCAGCTTGTGGTTCTGCTGCTAAAATAATTTGTTTCTATGGCAATTCTTGTTTCCGAATCCTGATGATCATTTGATTTTGCTGATTGTGAGTTTAGAGCATCTGCAGACTCAGGAAAATTTCAGCAGCTTCCACCTGAGATCAGTTTTAATATCTTTCTTCATGACTTATGGGATAAGTACTTTTCTATAAAAAGAACAACTCTTCTTATGTACAGTTATATGGCAATTAAAAAAAAGGCCATTATTTGGAGGTTCATGGTAACGACATTTAACTGCATTATCTACTTTGCCTGCTTACAGCTGACTCGTGGCAGTGTCCTGAACCTACAGCTGTGTAAAATGAATGGTAGGCATCATAGTATATAGAAACCTTGTTGAAAATGATATTGCCTGTGAAAATCAAATGACGTCTTAGGAGCCTAGTTTTAGTACTAAATTTTTACTCTGATATCATATTTATGTCTTGACGTCTCACTGTCTGTTGGTTCAGAAGTAGGTTTGATAGTTGCAACCTCATCCTGTCATTGCATCACTTAAATAGTATATTAAATATTATTTAAATATGTGTGGGCGCTGTCAATAGATAATATGCATCCTCAAAATAGAGGATACAATTAAATGACTTTATAAATCAGGAAGGCAGATAACATTTTGTAATGTTGATTTAAGTACCAGCCAGAAGAAGGGGCAGTGCTGGTAAATAATGTGAATAGTTAGGTTTAATTCTTTGTTGAGATAAACCAGAAGCATTGGATTCTAAATAACTTTATATTGGCTGCATTCACTAAGAAATGATGCTTCTGAGTATTTCAGGCATTTGAGCAAGCTTATATATGTACCACGAGCCAATTACAAGCCTTTTCTGTTGTTAGGAAGCCCTATACTTAATACCTGAAGAAAGACCCAGTCTGTACATTGGGACATTCTTTTTCTTTCCCACCTTCGGCAGCGTGTCTTCTATGCTTCCATTTTCATCTCAGAATAATATTTATAACTATTGTTCTCCAAACAAAGGTACCTACTACCACAGATTGGTCCTGACCTGACTTCATCATACCTCAGCTCCTGCCTTCAGCTCAGTCTTGCAGGGGCAAGGAGTTTGACTGAAGGAACCTGTTGTTTGTAACACAGCTATGAAGGGCAACATTTCATACTGACATGCAAGAAAGGAAGATTTATTCTGGACTTAGGAGATGTTACTTTTATGCATATTTTTTGGAAAATTGAAAGGAAAAAAGGAGCCTTCTACACCCTTCCCCCTGAAGCAAAGAGATTTGACAGCTGTGAATGGAACAGGCTGAAGCCATTTTGGAGATGGATGTTTAAGTTGTACAGCATGGATGGGATTCTTTAATAAGTATTCTCTCTTTTTCTTTCATTACATAAGGTTTTGCTTTTCTTGGATCACACAGATTCTTGTAAAAATGTAACAAGCTACTATTCTGAATATACCAAATAAGAAACAGATGGATCTCTCTAAAGAATAGTCTATCAGTAATATTAATGGAATCTTATGTTTAGGGACCAGGCACCTCCCTTTCCTCATGCCAGCCTTCTTGGACTGAACAAAGAGGCTCTCCTAGCAATGACTCGCAGCAGAGCATTTTTTCTCTTTTCACAATGTATTTTTAATGTGCTATATACCCTTGGCTGTTATGCACAAGGTTTTCTGTGGAGAACTGATTTAAACACAAGGCTTGACCCTATTGTCAATGTCTTTTTCACACTACAATTCAACTGGTGTAACTCCACCGCCTCAGTGGAGTTCCCCTGACTTAAGTGTGATCCTTCCCGATTAATACTGTGTAGCGCTATATTCATGTGACTAAGCAAGAGCCTTCTGAATGAAGAAAATTCTAGTTGGTATTACGTACAATAGTATGTACATAATACTCCTTAGACACCAACTTACACATTTTAGATTACAGCTTTACTTCAGGTTTTGCATTATCTTTTTGCTTTAGCTGAAGTGGCCCTGTACTCTCCTGTTCTCTTGCCTTGTGGCATCTTTCTCAATAAAGCAAGCTTAGCAGTACGAATTACTAAGTACCATGTGGATGGCCATCCTCTACTTCTTCAAGGACAACAGCTTCATATCACACATAACATATATTTCTGTGCTATATACTATCAAAACCTGACTTACCTGCTGTGCTGAAAGTAAGTCAGAATAGTAGCTTCAGAAATGGCTGGAGTATGCCCTTTTCAGCTTATTAGACTTCATGAGTATATTTGGTGTGTCAAAGCTTCGGTTGCCTGTGAGACAGCCAAGTGGCTGAAAGCAAATGTGAGACAGATTCTGTGATTCTTATAGCCACCCTGACTACTCCCAAGGATGTTATGGGCAAAGTGTGTGAGTTGCACAAAAGATGCACTTCAGAAAAATCAAATAATAAAGCTGAGCTGTTCCTTTACTGCTGTTATTTTCTTTTATTTGGGATATTTCTGAAGTTGGTTGGGTGGTATGTACAGTACTTTTTTGTTGGTGAAATGATAACCTAGATAAACCACATACATACTGTTATTTTAATACAAGAAACAAGGCTCACTGCTGGTTTTGACTGGGATAGATTAATTTTCTTCCTAGTAGCTGGTATATTACTGTGTTTTGGATTTAGGATGAGAATAATGTTGATAAGACACTGATTTTTTAGGTATTGCTGAGCAGTGCTTACACTAAGTCAAGGACTTTTCAGCTTCTCGTACTGTCCTGCCAGCAAGGAGGCTGGAGGAGCACAAGAATCTGGGATGGGACACAGCTGGGACAGCTGACCCAAACTGCCCAAAGGGATATTCCATGCCATGTCATGTCATGCTCAGCCTATAAGGCTGGGGGAAGAAGAAGGAAGGGGGGACATTCGGAGTGATGGTGTTTGTCTTCCCAAGTCACTGTTATGCCTGATGGAGCCCTGCTCTCCTGGAGATGGCTGAGCACCTGCCTGCTGATGGGAAGTAGGGAATCGATTCCTTGTCTTGCCTTGCTTGCATACGCAGTGTTTGCTTTACCTATTAAATTGTCTTTATCTCAACTCATGAGTTTTACCGTTTTTCCGATTCTCTCCCCCATCCCACTCTGGTGGGGGGGAGTAAGTGAACGTTTGTGTGATGTTTAGCTGCCTGCTGGGTTAAACCATGACACTTGCGTTTAAAAGGGAAATATAATACAGTAAACATCCTTTTGTACTGGCTTAGTTATTTTTCTAAACTTGTGTGAGGCTGAGGTATTTGGCTTCCAAAACACAATTTTTTGCAAGAGTCTGCAAGTTCTGTAATACCTTTTCCAGTATCTGCTGAGTGAGCCAAAGGTCTGTGGTCAAGTGGGCATCTCAGTTACAACTCTTTATTGAGCGTCTAATGTATTAGGCTTTAAGTCCCACAGACATTTCTCTTCCTGAATAAAGCTGTTGAGCATTTAATTTTCAACTTCATCCTGGTTCCAAGGAAAACACCAGAAAATGAATCCACTCTTCAACTGGTGATGTCCCTGAGTCTTGGATGTCCACGATGTTTTGGTTTAAACTATTCAAAGTCATTAGGAAGGTGGTTTGGTGTTTTTTTTTTCCTTTGGGATTTTTTTTGGTTTGTTTTGGGTTTTGTTTTTTTGTTTGTTTTAAATTTGATTTTAAACCAACCTGAAAACACAAGGAAAGAACTTTTTTCAAATTTATCCCTGTTTCTCTTAGAGCGTTGATTTTTTTTCAGTAGTTATTGAAGTCTTGTTAGAATGTCCTATTCAGATTTTCCCACCTTTTTGTGCATTTCACCTTTAATGCATTTTAGAATGATTTTAAAATAAATATTTGATATGTCTAGCTTTGTTCTGTAGATGTTCTTGCCACTCCTCTCAAATTGTAATAAGATTACTTGTTGTAAACGAGGTAGATGCGAGTGCTGCTACCCACAGTACTGAGGGTAATTATGCCAAGTTACTGGCCTGGGGTGCTCCCACTCAGTGATAGCTCTCATCAGTGCATCTGGTTTATTGTAGAATTTCAATGTTAAAATGAATATATTCCCTTGCTACCTTGTGACCTCTCAGAGTCTCCAGATGGAGACACCGTTCTTAGAGAGGAGAGATTACATTCAGGAGTGAGAACTGGTGTGAAAAGAAGTCATATCACCTTCATAAATAGGTCTGTGTTCAGGATCGGCCCAATGTGAGGCTACAGGAACCCGATGCCACCATCTGTGCTTAGGCCTGCAACAACAGCAACCGTTACAACCTACTCCAGGCATTCTGCACTTCCATCTCCAGCGTCCCTGGCATCCTCCCCGGTGGCTTAGAGGGTGTTCACTAGGGATGTCAATATGGGCTCCCTGTAGGAGAAGTAATGTTTCCTTCCTTTATAGCTGGAGCAAATAAAGGAAGAAGCTCAGCAACTGCTTCAATGCTCAGCTATGATAATGGTGGGCTGAATATGTCCCAGAATGAAGTTATGGTGTCAGTACGGTGGAAAGAATAGAAGCATTTGCCATATCTTGAAGGGAAGAAAAGGGTGTACATGGAAAATTGCTTGAGTGTTTTGTATTTGGTATTCTCTACCCTGACACCAAGAGTTCTGGTAGCACAAGCTAACTCACATTTAGAAACCTTCCTGGAAACAGTCAAAACAGTTTGTCATTACAGTAGATGAAGAGTGCTTAAAAAACTAAGCTCCTGCCTGGTGGGATGTTTGAGGTTTCAGGATATATGTAGTTTATTTTTGTCTTGAATTAGAACAGAGAGTCAAAAGTGTTTGCAGAGAAGAAGTTTGAAATGTTTCTCTTTGATAGTATCAGATCAAATATAAGAAAACAAAAATCCTCTCCTTTCAGAGAAGAAATGCTGGATATTTGATGATGACAATATTAATGACCTTTGATGAAAATGCATTATAAATCCAGGGCAATGCCAACATTGGTATTAGTGGTGGATAAGTTTGTTTAAATAGCATTTAAATAATAGCTTATTCACGAAACACAATCTTTTGGATGTTTAGAAAAGTCTTATTATATTATTATGCTTAGAGCTTATAGTTGTTACTCTTAGAGCTGACCTGTTGCTCATTTAGCTGGAACTGAAAAGTTGTTCTTGCAGTCTGTCATATTTGCTTGGAAGGAAGGCAGGCTGGCAAAAAGCAGTATTGCTGATAACTTCGTTTCCAGTGAGGAGGCACCAATAACGTTCAGGTAAACGTCCAAAGCATTAGGCCTTCTCCATCAGAATGGTGTTATGTACCATCATGTTCCACTGTCAATTTTATCCAAAAGAATCCTAGTTTAGTGTCTCTGAACAATGCTGGTTCATTTTTTTGCAAAGAACAATACTGGCCACGCTTATCCATGGGATAGTCATTAGTAGTTTGATTAGCATTGTTCTGAAATAGGGTTTTCCAGCCAAAACCTAATAACCTTTCCCTCAGTCCCCCTCTGTGAAAGCTATGCTAAAACTCTGTAAGGAACAATGAAGTTTTACAATCCTTCAGTGAGCATGCTTTTGTTCTTCAGTTGAGTCTGTACAATAAGGGGAAATCTGCAAAGTGGCGAGCACCCTTGTCCCCCACTACATTCAAGGAGTACCAGAGTTTAATTAGTCTTTAATTTCTCTTTCTAAGAACTTTCCATTCAGAATTATCAAGATGACCTTATCAAAATGCTCTCATTCGGCAATGAGGGAGTGTGTATATTTTAAAGAAAAGACGCTGTGCCATTACTGATTTGCAACAGCCCAGGTGATTCCATGGCTCTGAGAAATCTGCTGTATGTAAGGAATTATGTAGTTTGACAGGCATTTTTGGTATTAAAAGCAAGACATAGGTCCAGCTCCTGAACTGAAGAGGCTTAGTACTGCAGCAAGAGTTTAGTACTGAGACATATCTGAATCTGAGCTTCAGTAGTGCTTGGTGGAAGAAGTGTTCTTTTGCTTTATGAGTTTGATTAGTGTGAATGATTGCCTCTGCAGCCCACTTGTTTGTTTCCAAGGTGATCACAAGAGGAAAACCAGGAAGAGTCAAGACTAACGCCTTCTGCAGATCATGCAGTACATTAGAATTGAGACTTCCCCTGCTTTCAGTATGTGCTACAGCGGTACGTCTTCAACAGGTGTAGACCTAAGAATTATAGGATACTTCTTACCATTTCTGTAACGCTTATGTGTCTCTCCAGGTCTGTAGAAAATGAAGCTTTCTGCCAACGGTGGATAAAAACATAGGTATGGATCTATTATACTCTGAATTTATAATCATGTGAGGTGAAGATGAATGGGAAGATATAAAGAAAATTTGGCTTGTAAAGTTTGCTTCTGTGTTTCAAGGTAGGAATAATTACTGAGAATGCTGAAAGATGTGCATGACAGCCTACCCTGTATCTGCTGTCGTGGTAAGTAAGTACTGTACTCATGGCATTGACCATGCAGTTGTCACTCAGCAGCAGAAGCTAGCAATTCCTGACTTCTCCCTGTCTATGGACAAGACTTGATATCATGAGGTGAAGGGCTGAAGCCTGTTGAGAAGTATGGAAAGCTGTAAAACATAGTTGCCCAAGCTATCTGCCAAACAGTGATGGGCGAAGGCCAGGGGTGGCCTGTCTGGCTTACCCTGTCTGTTCCAAGGGAACTGAAAGTATGCATATCTCCCCTCTCTCTATTGTGGACTTGGTGACATTTTCTATTAACAGGAGAGTGTTTTCCTCCATCAGTCTGTGAGCCATCGCAAAACAGTTCTGCTCTTTCTGTATCCTGCAGTGATGGCAGATAGGGTAGAATGCATGAAGTCTGAGCTTCAGTAATTTGTTGGTAGCTATGGAAACTTGCATAGAGGAGACATCCCTTCTAGCTGGCCTTGTAGAGATCACAAAAATGAGTGGACCACATCTTTCTCCTTTATGACTGTGCTATGCCTTTTCTCTATATCCCTGGTGCAGCTACAACCTGTAGAATCATGGTGGAATGTACTGGCAAAAATCAAGATGTCAACTGAGAGTTGTGGCACTTGCTACAGCACTGTATTTAATCCCCAGGATTTTTGTCATGTGTTGCCACCAACCTGGTATTGGCTGAAGACTGAGAATGGTAGACGTCAAAGATCATCTCTGTGGTCTTACAAAGCTGCCATTTCTGTGTTCTCCGCAACAGCCTTGGGACACCTCCTGCCAGCATCCCTGGCATCACTTCTTGCCTTTAAACCTGTAGTCTAGCTAAAGGCTGTGCCACAGTGGATGCCTTAGAACGACGTGTTTCAGCGGATGAAGAATGCAGTTGTCCTAGTGTACCTCAGAGATTCAGGTCCTGATCCTTTCCTGACATGCAATCCTCACAAGTATTTTTAAGACTTGGGAAGATCTACAGGTAAGAAAAATACTTTTTCCTCTTAATTTGGAAAGCTCCAGCATAAGGATCAGGACTTGGACTGTTATCCTGGACTCACAGCAATGCCACATGTCTAAGACTGAGGGCTGCAAGGAGGTGCTAGGATTTGGTCTAGGCCAAATGATGGCATTGGACACGACCTTCTTAAAAACAGTTTCAAAGTTAACCAAGAGGGAGCAGAAAGTCTAGCTATTATTAGCTAAAGTTGTCAGTGACTAGAGGATGGGAAATGGGGAAATGAAAGAGAGAGGCAGTGGACACTTAGTTCTACATTTTTTTGGTTCTTTTCAGGCAGCAGTGCTATAATGATACACATGACATCTTGTGTAAGGCTGAAAAGCTGT